CCCCCCCCCTTGAATACTGTCTGTCCTATTACAAGAAAAAAGAAATTCAAATATAACAACGAATTTTTCTTTACATATTTTTGGCCTTGAACTTGATCATATTTCTCGAGTACGATTTAATATCAGATGAATTTTCTTCAATAGCACAGCAAGCCATGTATTTGATTTAATTGAGACAATAATTATTATGAAATATATTCATTAGTTAATGTCCATAACCAATGAAGAGAAAATGAAATTAGATCCAATTAACCACTGTTCTACCAATTTGTTATTTGTTTTTCAAAAGAGTGCAATGCTATTCACGTATGAGTATTCTATTTTAAGGCTACATAACTTCATGTGTGAGATATATGTTTGTTACGAAGTGACCTTTTAATTATTATCTTTTAAAAAGTCGAACAAATCAGGAAAATCTTTGATTATTGCAAGACGAAAATTTCATTAAAATATGTTTTTGAAAATAGCTTTGAACTTTTACAAATATTTGTTCAACTGAACCTCACTCAAAAGTTCGCTATTTTGATTGAAAATAGATTTTTGTAGAAGAAAAGTTTTTATTTATACCATAAAAATAGTTATGATAACAAAAAGAGGAATCAGTATGAGACAAGAGGTGATAAGTGATCGAATAAAACTAATATTTTCAAGATGATAGTTTACAAAATCATCTTCAGCATTTTCTGCTCGATGAATTTTCGTTCGTGTTCGATAACTATAACGAGTTGCCATCAATGCAACAATCATATTGGGCGCATTACCAATTAAAGTACACCCACCCATTAACACAGAACCAGCTGATATGGCACGAATTGATGTAATTGCGTCGGCTTCATAACGAGAAAAGAATACAGCAAGAAAACCATTATTATCCGATTGATCAACAGTTATATTATAGCGGGCAGCAGCACTTGCTGCAAAACTTATATAGACTGGAGCATTGTCAAGAACTGAAGCAAATATACCAGAGAATACAAATAAATGCTAAAAAAGTAAAGTAAACAAAATTGTTTTGAATGATTGAAAGTGTTGCATTAACTATATGTGCATACAAAACATTGTAGCGCTTGTGATTCAATCCAATTCAAAAGACAAATGGGCTAGATGTAAAATCTTCCGTAAGGATTTATCTTATTCGTGAGACCTGTAATGGAATGAGAAGTTCTAATATCACTGATTGTGCAATGCACTTGTCTTTAGTTGGAGAGGGTGGGTGATAGAGTCGATCAGGTCCAATATTTTTGAATCCGGACCCTCTGAAAACATCATTTTAAGATCCGGGACCGGTTAGAGAGCCACGTAGATTTATCATACAACTAACATGCTTGGAAAATAAATGTAGGTTCGATATTTTAAAGAGATTATGTCTCTCTGAGTAAGGTCTATCTATAAAAATCGTGAAATATAACGGCCGCTCATAGAGAATTGCAGAAAACGCATCTATTTTTCTATGATTCTTTTACAATTCGACTTACTTTAGGTCCAAGAGGAAGTTTCAAACTGGTCAAAACAGCAATCGGTGCTGACATCGTAAATAATAATCCAACAAAAATAACGATAACTTCTGCGACAGGTTCAATACGTGTTGAATAATGTTTTTTAAACCATTCGATAGGTGTTTGTTTCTTCCAAATCATATCAAAACCAATACATAAAAATGCAATTAGAAACAAGATTAGCTCTTGAATATATTCAGGCCATTTAATTGGAATATCGAAACCTTTGCATAAAATAACGATAAGAATTAATAGAAGAAAAAAACTATGATGAATTCCATTCCATTGAACGGGCAATGAAGATGAAAGATCATAACGATCATTTTTTTCTTTCTGGCATGGTACTAATTCATATAATTGGTTATTAATATTATTTTGCTTTTGTGCTTTTTTATAGTTCCACGCATTAATAAAATCAATCAATGCAAATAGAAGCAAAATATATCCATTTGAAACGAAAAATATTTTATAAAGATATTTAAATGTAAATAGAAACTCGACACCATTGGTGTAACCCATATATAATGGAGGATCACCAAGTGGACTTATTAATCCAGCTGAATTTCCAATTAATATAATAAAAAATATAATTAAAAATCGTTGTGTATTTAGATGATTTAATCTTGATGAATTTTGTGATATGAATGACGGGAAAAGAAGAACACTTGCTGCAAGTGTTCCAATTAGATTACATAAAATTATTGATACAGTAAGAAATAGAACATTTTTAAAAATGATCCAAATTAAAGTTTGCAATTTTGTTGAATAAATAATTTTTGTTGAATGAAATTTTAACAACGGTAAACCTGTACACGTTACAAATAGAGAAAACAGAAGAGCGAACAATGAAATAAAACTATGAAAACTAAATGAAAACATTTTTAATGCTGTTGCATAAGATAAATTTAATAGATAAATATAGTATCCCAATGAGAGACTGAGTCCAATTATAAACTTTTTCCAATTACAATCCCATATATAATATTTATGCCATTTTTCAGGAGTATAACGAAGATAAACTATTTCAAACAGAATTTGAAAAAAATAGAATTTGATCAAAAAAATAAGTTTACTTGGATGTAAAAAGGGTAGAAATATAATTCCGAGAAGAAGAAGAATAAAGAAAATGATTGACGAAGCAGCCGGTTGTTCCATTTTAGAAGTATTCACTGATAATGATGATCAACTATTTTGTTCGTTCAGCCATGTGCAAGAATGTTCTTCGACGTACATTTCTTCCTCCATCTTTATAACAATAACAGAACGGGAAAAGAAAACAACAATAACAACATCTCATGATTTGCCAATCAGTGCTGAGCGTGAGAAAAAGAAAGAGACAGAAGAACATTTTTTATTTCTATTTCTGGAGAATTTCTAAGCAGCATGGCTGCTTTATTCGACAAAATGGGTTTCAACTAATTTTTATCTTTAAGTTAATGCAGTAGTGAATCTAGGATTTTTTTAACCGATGCGTGCCTGAGAAAAACCCATAAGGCTAAATATGCAAACTATATCATTCGCAGTAGTAACTTAGAATCCTCTTGTGCTCCGATTATCATAAGTGTTGTGCATATTAACAGAAGAAGACAAATGATTGTGATTTCGAATTTCGAATATTTATACGAGTGTCAAAAGCTGTAAGATCAAATCATATCATGAAGTCGTCTTAAAGTGAATATATTAGTATCAAGTAAAATCGACCGACAAATATTCAATGTTGTATTTTTTATTCTGAGTTAATCATGAAAAGTAAAAATGAGTTAGCATTAATATATTCGAAAAGTATTGAAGCTAGATGTCAAATTTGTCCGTTGGTATCGACTATCTTTTAATGCATGATGACGCTTGTGGCTAGCGACAAGCGGGAAACCAGGAGGCACAATTCTTCTTCTGATGTTTGGCACCAACATCTTGTTAGGTGAGTGATAATTCTTTGGCATCCCGAATTGAGTGTTCCGTCGGCACTGTGAGTTATTGGTTCGATATTGATGATTCGGAATACCATGTCGTCGTTCGTCAGACGAGGGGTAATATCCTAATCACGCACTCTAAATGATTACAAATGTAAGACATTTAAAGAAAGACCTACCACACGGACGCCGTCTCTGCAGGAAATTCTGTGCCGCTGGGTTATTAGCCATGAAACTGTCAACAATATACGCTGGTCCATAGCAGTTGACATTCAAATACGGTATTTGCATACTTCTAGTAGACTTTTGAACATCAATGGCTGTTCGTTGAAAGACTTTCTTGATATCCATTGGTAATACGATATAACTAAGTAAAAAGCAAGTGTAGGCGCTATTATGTTGTTTTGATGAGCCAGCTAACGATGCTTGGTCGGGTGCGCATGCATAAGAAATGGTTGTCGATGGTGGTGCTTGCATTGGTGCAAGTCCATCTTTGATTCGTTTTGAAGTTAAGCCAAAGAAACTCTTTACGTTTGACGAGTCATCGCTCATACCCGTTCGACAACAATCGAGAACGATGATGAACAATCCTGGACGCCGCTGAGATACATCATGGATCAGTTTCTGAGCAATCAAAGTACGATATTTTATTGTACGTAAAGTAATTCCTCTATCATCTGTTGGCGTCAAATAATTTATACCATCCACTTGACTAGCATGACCAGAAAAGTAGAAAAACGCAATATCACCTGGTTGAATGCATTGTATGAACGCATCGGTAGCTATTTTCATATCATCCAATCGTTGGTTTGTTTTACATAGTACGTTAAATCCGATTGTCTGTAAAGCATCGTGCATATCATTAGCGTCATTGACGCATGTTAGTAATGAGTTATTTTGCTCATGAGAATCATTGCCAATTACCAAGGCTCGTTTCATCGGTATTACTATAATATTTATCAAATAATTATGAGTCTATAAATGTTATATTTAATCATAGGTTTTCATTTCGGGTGATGAAACATTTAAAAATCTATCATATTCTCTGTGGAATTGTATATTCAGTGAATCTATATCGAATCAGCACAGGGAATGTTTTCTAGTTGAACTTATTGTCAGAACGAAAGACATTGACTCGAAGTAAAATATTACCAGAAATGAGCTAAGCTTGTTGATGATTTACCTTATTCTAAATAACCGCTCAGCAAAGCAAATTGTTGGTATCAAGTTTCAATTCAATCAACGTTGAATGTTTCACTCAAACGATCTTGGTGTTGATACTGGAGGTAAAGTGCATATAATATACCTCCTCTCTGATAGGCTTATTACTGAAATTGAAGTGGTGGGTATTCGAAGTGTAATTTAAATGAAATTTGCTAGTCAAGCAGAACTTTTTATTCACTCTCTAAAAGGAAAAGCGCTGTGTACACAGTTATGCCTTAATTTTGACTTGCATGCCTATTACTAATATGCTACTCGTTGCTGAAAAATAATTATATTATCTTGTCAATCAGTTTTGTATTTCATATATCGATTGACTTTTTCCCGTTAGCCATAATATAAAAACAAGGAGACAAGGCAAATTGTGCATGAGAACGGAAGTGTGGATTTCAATAATTTCAGCATACCGTCAATTAAAAGAAAGCAGAGACGACTACTGTTTTCTTTCTGCATTCCTGAGGGTGTGGGTGTCCTTATAATATCTGCTTCACCCACTAAACCAAGTGAAAGCGATTGATAAATATTCAATGTTGAATTTTTTATTCTGAGTTAATTATGAAAAGTAAAAATGAGTTAGCATTAATATATTCCAAAAGCATTGAAACTAGATATCAAATTTGTCCGTTGGTATCGACCATC